TATAGGTGTTAGGCATCCAGGTTTATTTCATGACCTCCACCTCTGTTCCGTGGGCTGTTTCCGACATGCTCGGTGCTAACATCTAGCCCTGCCTCTGCTTGTTGTTGTCCGCGTGTGGGAAGAACATCAACACTCGCCTCACGAATGACTTCTAGTTTATTTACACGTCGGTTTACTCGGGGTTACAACAGTTGATCTGTTTAAGTCGATAGGATCATTTACAACACGACATATACAAATATATTAAATTTAAAAGAGAAACATATATCGACCACGTTCGGATTGCATAGCTTATTCTAGTGAAACAGAAACTAAATAAACGTTGATTTAGCCTGTTCTCCGATAATTTTCCAACCCAATTTCTTGATAAATCAAGAAAAGCCAACCAACGGACGCATTTCGGGCTGCTGGCCCTCGTCAGCGTAGTGCAAACTGAACCTCAACGACCAAAAAAAATTAGTATTTTTTGACACACACACATTTATATATAAATAAATATAAAGCATATATTGGATCTAAATTTATTAATCAGCCAATATTTCTAGGGGCAACACGCCTCTCTTTATCAAGGCTTTTCTTTTATTTTAAACTAAATCACGTGGGTATGTGATCCACTCACGCTATACAAGACCAAAGCAAGAAACTATCTGATGAAATGTTCACTGTATATAAAATATATTTACAATTGTTATATTTAATAATAATAATAATTAAAAGAGTATATAATTAAATAATCATCTGATTAAATAAATGAAGGGACTGATAAATATTAGAAAATAAAAATGAGTGAGGATTATGATTCAATATGTTGTGTTGATAAATATAAATAAAAATATATTACAAGTATGAATATATACACAAAAATAATAAAATAAAAATAATAAATAAATAAATAAATAATTTAGGAAGATATAAATTATCTATAAATTTCTGGTAGGTCAATTTTCCTATTTATGCTTTCTGAATCTTTTATAGAGGCCCAGCTTTCTAAAAATAACCTGCAGTGCTTTTCTTTAATATTCTGGTATAAAATGGATGCTTTGTCAAATTCGGGTATATGATTATTGTTCAGTGCATGGTCTACTAGGATAGATAATAGTTTATGGATGCGTAGAGCTGCTTTGTGTTGGTTAATGCGTTCTTTCAATGCTTTGCTGGTTTCTCCAATGTAAGTGGCTGGACAGGTTTTGCACGGAATTTTGGTCTTGTATAGCGTGAGAGGAACACATACCCACGTGATTTAGTTTAAATCAAAGCAAAGCCTTGATAAAGAGAGGCGTGTTGCCCCTAGAAATATTGGCTGATTAATAAATTTAGATCCAATATATGCTTTATATTTATTTATAGATATTATTATGGATTGCTCAATCTTTAAAATATTTATATATATATATTAAAAACAAAATAGTCATTTCTTGACAGATCAAATGAGAATTTTACTATTTCTTTCTTGTTTTTTTTTTTTTCATATATATATTATGATGAAAAAACAATAGAAAAAAATAAAAGATAAGTGGGTCAGGTGTTGATATTAAAAAATAAAGAGTTTATAGTGATACTGATGCTAGACTCATGGAATGGATATTTTAGATTAACTATAGACATAATACAATATAATATAATGCGGCTTATGGTTGTAAAACGACATTTGAAATACTATCCCGCATGTTTTTCTTTTCAACGAAAAATCAAAAATTCAGGAGATGCCTTCTTTATTTTTAATATATTATGATGCATTAGCGCGCCATCTGTTTTTAAAATTTGAAACTTTTATCGACGCGTATGATTCTTTTTAAACTTAAAAATATTCTAATGCCCTTACAGTAATGGAAAAATTAATGGGAGGGCCTGGCTCATCAGTAGTGAACCCTCCCGGCGGTTTCGCCAGTTTAATCTACCATACCGCTATTATATTGCATTTTTCTATCTTTATTTTATAGTGATACTGATGCTAGACTCATGGGATGGATATTTTAGATTAACTATAGACATAATACAATATAATATAATGCGGCTTATGATTGTAAAACGACATTTGAAATACTATCCCGCATGTTTTTCTTTTCAACGAAAAATCAAAATTTATTTCAAGGAGAAATAACGATTATTTCTAACCTTGGTGATGAGGTATGAATGGATGAATTGTGAAGAGTAATGATAAACGGAAAAATAAAAGTGTTATTTTTACCGTTACCGTTTATTATTACTCTTCACAATTCACCCTTTCATACCTCATCCCAAAGGTTAGAAATAATCGTTATTTCTTCTTGAAACACATGCGGGATAGTTTTCAAATGTCGTTTTATTATACAATATACTATTATATATTATATTAATATACTATTTACAATAGTAATGCTGTGTGATATATTTATATATACTATAGCGGAATCTTTATAATGCATTAAAACAATACCTTTTGTTCATCGCGAAGAAAAACATTAATAAATTCACTTCCAGATAGGGTTTCCAAAAGAAGATCCTGCAAAAACGACCCAAATATTTTCTGTTATATATGTGGCGAATACAATGTAAAAGCGCAAAGAAATGCAATAACAGACTTTGTAAAACGGGCGTATTTCGCATATTTTGGTATAAAATTAGGAGACCAGGACAAGACATGGGCTCCACATAAGGTATGCAAAACGTGTGTCGAAACACTGCGCCTGTAAACAAAGGGTGAAAGACAACTGACATTTGGGATCTCTATGGTTTGGCGAGGGCCAAAAAATCATGACAATGATTGTTACCTTTGCGTACAAGACTTGAAACACTTTAACAGGAATGGTAAGAAAAAGCTTGTATACAAAGACCTATATTCAGCTAGACTTCCAATACCAAACAGCCCAAATAGTCCCCTCCCAGTTTTTTCATCCAGTGCTAATAATTCTCTTTATGACGAATCAAAAGACACCACACAAAAAGATATCGAACTGGATGATTCTGATAGTGAGAACTATGGAGAACAAGAATGTCCAAAACGTTTTTCACAACCAAAACTGAAAGATTTGACACGTGACCTGAGACTTTCAAAACAAGATGCGGAACTGCTTGCATCAAGATTAAAAGAAATGAGCCAACTCGAAGACGATGTCAACGTAACATTTTATCGGACAAGAGAAAGTTCGTTCCTTCCTTTCTATCAGCAGGATGCAAATATGTTTTACAGCACTAATGTAGAAGTCTTACTACACCTTTTAAAACTAGACGAATACCGTCCTGAAGATTGGAGTCTATTTATCGATGGTTCCGTGCGTAGCCTCAAATGTGTTTTAATTCATAATGGAAATAACTATGCATCTATTCCAATAGCGTATACAACAAAAATAAAGGAGAATGTTGAAAATATAAAAACCATCTTATTAAAATCAAATACAATGAGCATAATTGGTTTATTAGCGTTGATTTAAAAATGGTTAATTTTTACTAGGATTTCAAAGCGGATACACCAAGTATCCTTGTTTTTTATGCATGTAGGATAGCAGGGCACGGCAAATACATTGGAAAACAAACAAACGGCCTCTTCGATATGAACGTACAGTAGAAAAAGATAATGTCATAAGCAAACCTTTGGTATCTCGGGAAAAAATCATTCTACCCCCATTACATATAAAGCTAGGTTTATGTAAGCAGTTTGTAAAGGCTCTAGATAAAGATGGAGAATGCCTCAAATATATATGTCGTTTTTTTTTTTTCAAATATTAGCCTAGAAAAGATAAAAGCAAGGGTTTTTGACGGACCTCAAATCAAGAGGCTCCTGAATGACGAAAACTTTCTAATAACCATGAATGGAGTTGAAGAAGCAGCGTGGTCAGGCTTTAAGGTTGTAGTACATGGATTTTTTTTTAGGTAATAGAAGAGACGATAATTACAAAGAGCTTGTCCAAAGTATGCTTAAAATGCCCAAAAGCCATGAATCTTCGGGTGTAAATATGAGTATTAAGGTTCACTACTTGCATAGTTAGCTGGACAAATTCCCTGATAATCTCGGTGTATATAGTGATGAACAAGGCGAGCGATTCCATCAAGACATGAAAGTGATGGAAGAGAGATATCAAGGTGTCTGGGACTGCCACATGATGGCAGATTACTGCTGGAATCTGTCCCGCGACCTGCCGGAATACACTTATAAGAGAAAATCCAAAAGGTTGAATTTCATGAAGGATTGACTGTAGCATTTTACATTTTTTGCATAGATTCAGTTTTCTTATACTACAGTAAATAAAGTACCGTTTGTTATGACGTTCTCAGTTTTTATTTGCGTTCAATGTGTTTTTGGTACCGCTTATATGGACTGACGTACCACATTGTGGCCTAAATATGTATACGTTATATCTTTGAAAATTGATGAGATACATATAAACTAACATTATATTCATGAATAGCATCTCAAATTAAGTCAGAAACTGGTGCATTATCAAAAACATCTTTTTCAGTGTAGATCAGTGTTATTCGAGATGGAAAAGCAGAAAAGAACTAAAGCTAATAACGCGGCCATTTGAAACATAACTATTTATATGTAAATCTACTATCTTAAATGTGTCCATAGGTATATGTCTATATATATCCATAATTTTCTTAAATACCATTTCTGTGGTTCGACCCTTCAGTATAGCATATATAAACAGAATGATCCAATACAGTATTAGAGCTCTAAAGAATGGTCTGGTAGATTAAATTTGCAAAACCCGCTGGGAGTATTCACCACTGATGATCTGAGTCGTCCCAATATTTTTTCATCACAATAAAGACAGTAGAAGTTTGATTGATGTGTAAAAGAAACTTTCGTGTCTTAATGTTTCCATTTGCTGTATATAGATGGTGCATTATTGTTCTACAACAATTCATGTAAAGCGACATTTGAAGTTACACCGCATGAGTTTCTTTTCAATGAAAAATCAAAATTTATTTCAAGGTGAAATATTGACTATTTCTAACCTTTTTGGATGAGGTATGAAAGGGTGAATTATGAAGAGTAATGATGAACGGAAAAATAAAATGGCCAGGGATGGGAATCGAACCCACAATGTTCCGCTTACCGGGCAGATGCCATGTCCACTAGGCTACCCTGGACGTATATTTCCGTTCATAAATATTACAAAAAGTAACTTATAATACAATATAATACACTGCGGCTTGTGATTGTAAAACAACACTTGAAGTTACACCGCATGAGTTTCTTTTCAATGAAAAATCAAAATTTATTTCAAGGTTAAATATTGACTATTTCTAACCTTTTTGGATGAGGTATGAAAGGGTGAATTATGAAGAGTAATGATGAACGGAAAAATAAAAGTGTCCAGGGATGGGAATCGAACCCACAATGTTCCGCTTACCGGGCAGATGCCATGTCCACTAGGCTACCCTGGACGTATATTTCCGTTCATAAATATTACAAAAAGTAACTTATAATACAATATAATACACTGCGGCTTGTGATTGTAAAACAACACTTGAAGTTACACCGCATGAGTTTCTTTTCAATGAAAAATCAAAATTTATTTCAAGGTGAAATATTGACTATTTCTAACCTTTTTGGATGAGGTATGAAAGGGTGAATTATGAAGAGTAATGATGAACGGAAAAATAAAAGTGTCCAGGGATGGGAATCGAACCCACAATGTTCCGCTTACCGGGCAGATGCCATGTCCACTAGGCTACCCTGGACGTATATTTCCGTTCATAAATATTACAAAAAGTAACTTATAATACAATATAATACACTGCGGCTTGTGATTGTAAAACAACACTTGAAGTTACACCGCATGAGTTTCTTTTCAATGAAAAATCAAAATTTATTTCAAGGTTAAATATTGACTATTTCTAACCTTTTTGGATGAGGTATGAAAGGGTGAATTATGAAGAGTAATGATGAACGGAAAAATAAAAGTTTCCAGGGATGGGAATCGAACCCACAATGTTCCGCTTACCGGGCAGATGCCATGTCCACTAGGCTACCCTGGACGTATTTTTCCGTTCATAAACATTACATAAAGTAACTTATAATACAATATAATACACTGCGGCTTGTGATTGTAAAACAACACTTGAAGTTACACCGCATGAGTTTCTTTTCAATGAAAAATCAAAATTTATTTCAAGGTGAAATATTGACTATTTCTAACTTTTTTGGATGAGGTATGAAAGGGTGAATTATGAAGAGTAATGATGAACGGAAAAATAAAAGTGTCAAGGGATGGGAATCGAACCCACAATGTTCCGCTTACCGGGCAGATGCCATGTCCATTAGGCTACCCTGGACGTATTTTTCCGTTCGTAAATATTACATAAAGTAACTTATAATACAATATAATACACTGCGGCTTGTGATTGTAAAACAACACTTGAAGTTACACCGCATGAGTTTCTTTTCAATGAAAAATCAAAATTTATTTCAAGGTGAAATCACAACAATTCATGTCACGGACAACTGGCTTATCTCTCAGCTTGGCGGCAATTTCCTTAGCCATGAACTCTCTTTACTTGTTAATCGATAATCTATAATTGATCTATAACACTTGCAGGGTAATCTTTATTTTAAAATAGGTTTGTCCCTGAGTCTATAAGCATTTCTAAAGAGCAGAATTCGTTCCTTGTAATCAGGTACTCCAATAAGAAGTGGGAGTTAGTTTTTCTTAGCAACTCTTTCGAAATTGTTCTATATTAATTTCTTCGGAAATTTACATCTTTTACGAAATAATATTTGGATCAATAAACGAGATTCATCAGGGGCTTCATTTTCGGTTCCTTCAAGTCCATAAAAATAGATTCCTTTCCTTCTGCTTCATTTCCTTTCCCTCAGCCGTCTTTCGAGATCAGATATTCTATTCGGATTGACCGCGACCGCTTTAGATGTACACTCATGGGCAAAACTTAAAAAGGTTGTACCTATTAGCATGTATTTCGGGATTCAGACAATAACTCTGAATGATATTTGATACACATTTATTGAAGACACACGAGATAATTAGGTGTGAACAAAATTGTCTCTGTCTCCTTAAAAAAAAAAAACACATAACCGGCGATTACAAAGAATTTCCACTCTCTTTGATGAATCGCCTTTTGACTCAAAATATTCATGTGTGTCAACAACAATATTAACATTAATATGTTATAATGCCTTGAAAAAGGTTGGCATTCAGCCAACTGAAATATTTGTGAAATAAATGATATTTTGATCCAATATATGCCTTTTTAAATAAATATCTATTTATGGATTTCTCTATTTTCAAAAGGAACAATATATATTTTGAACTTCTTACAATGTTGAGACTTGAATATTCATTATTTGAGGAAAATGATAGAAGAAAATTCAAAATGAATCAATATTTCAAAATAATTAGAATCAATTAGAGATTTTCTTTAGGAATATAAAAATATACTTTAGTTGACTTAACAAGAATTATATTTGAATTTGATATATTTTAGATAATTACCAATAAAAAATAGTTCTCAAATTTGATCCATTGTTATCCAAGTGATACCAATATTTTAGAACATTTTGTATATTAATATTACGATACACACAAAACCTTTATTATGACATGTAGTCGTATATATATGAATTCATCAGGTAAAGTCCATAAAACAAAGAAGAAGTAAAAAAAATTACATATGAAAACTTATTAAATTAACAATAAATATCTAATTCAAACCTTCTTTGTCTTTCATGTTAATCAATTCAGCAGAGGTATCATAATAGACAATTAACAATAGCTTGTCAATAAATGCAAAAGTGTACAGTCCGCACTATTTCAAAAAGATAATTATATCTCTATATATATATAAATGAATGTATGTGTGTCTGTCTGTCCTTTATGCCTGACAAACCACTCATTGGAACGCCATGAAACTTTGGGAAGTTATTTAGTATAGTACTGGGAAGGTTTCTAGCAAATAAAATTTTTGAAATAACTTTTCGCCTAAAAATAATCAAGATAAATATTCTAATTTATCTGTTATAATTCAAAAATCTGCTCTAAATATTATCATGATGATACGATGATTTTGTAATGTAGAAAATTAGGAAAGACAAAATTCAGGATGACACGGCAATTTATTTGAGAAAAGAATAATGATACAATTCCAAGGCAAGATACTATTCCTTAAACTCCAATTACCGAGGGAACCAATTAATATTGATTTTATTCAACTTATCGAGTATTTTCAAAGGGACCGGGAAAAAATGTTCACTTTATCGAGAGATTCGTTAGACAAACCTTTACTCGGGTAAAACCCGGGCGAAGCCGGGTACATCCATACAAGAATAATGATACAATTCCAAGGCAAGATACTATTCCTTTAACTTCCAATTACCGAGGGAACCGATTAATATTGATTTTATTCAACTTATCGAGTATTTTTCAAGGGACCGGGAAAAAATGTTCACTTTATCGAGAGATTCGTTAGACAAACCTTTACTCGGGTAAAACCCGGGCGAAGCCTGGTACTTCCGCTAGTATATTATAAATAAAAATAATTTCTTAGGTTGTTGAAGGGTACATGAGTATGTTTATGATATTGTTTGTAGTCGTTGAAATAATTAAATAATATTAATAAAAATAGTTATAAAAATAGTTATAATGAAGATTAGAAATAGCTTTAATTTAGCTTATGGAATATATAAAAAAAACATAATTTGATAAAAGTAATGCCTGGCTTAAGGCGTAAGAATCTAAAAAATGAATCTAAAAAAATTGAGCCTGCCGACTGTTTTACATATGGTGTTAAAAAAATAGTTGTAAATGGTTTAGCTTAAAATGCAAAGGTTTAAAGGTAAAAATATGGAATGAGAAATATTATATTTAGGTACAGATTTTAATCACGACTGCATTACCATAGCATATTCCTCAAGATGATCAAAAATCAACAGAAATCTTTTTATTAATATAATAACCAAATGTATACCTTAACCAAAATGTAACATATTATCTCATATTAATTAGAATTAGTTTTTCCAGATCTCATTACACCTGCATGTAAATTTAAACATTTTAATATTTTCAAATTGCGCGTGATATGCAAAACAATAGTTACGTGTATATAAATCCTATTTCAAACTAGTTGGATTATTGTTTCATTAATTCCTGTAGAAGGGCGTATGTGCCCGAAAGCTCGTATTATATTCGTTCTAATAAAAGATACGCAGCTCTTGAAGCTTTGTTTTATTCATTTATAAATCGTACACGGTTTTTCAATCGATATATATATATATATGCATAATACTATGTACAATGGATATGGCGCCTCTGCCAACAGTATCATTATATAATCTATCTGTACATATTTATATGGCGAATTCCACACTTTATACACACACACAAAGGCCTTTAATAAGACACACTGGTCTTATAGAGGATTCTCTCCGAGATTCACTTTATATTAATTGTATACATTCAAACAAAAACAACATGTTTTGCACTTTATTCACTATATTTGTATGTGTATTGATACATAGAATTAAAAAAAGCACGCATTACAGAATAGAATGTTTCAGAATGTTCAAGAATAATGTAGAAAATTCGAAGAACAACTGATTGGCCAATCTAATGCGATTGCGCAAGTCTTAGTGATGGTGGCTTTCTGATTGGCTGACCAACCATGACCGTTCTGGAAATATCTACTCCGGGATATATAAGGATGAGGAACTCATGCTGGGGAGTAGAAGAACGAAGCTACGTGGTGGACTCCAAGCAAACTGCTGTCTCAACAGGTCGGACTGCTGCTTACTGTCGACGCCGGTGTACTTCGTGGAAGATTCTAGAAGGTTCTACCAACTTCTGTCTCCTGTTCTGCTCCTGCTTTCCTTCACTGTGCTGCAGTTGGTGAGTTTGTAACTGCTGTTTTCTTTATTGTTGTTTTATTTTTGCACTCTTCTATGATTATTTTATCGATTAGGCTTTAAAAAGTCCTAAAGATCCTTTCTACCCACGGAAGTTTTTCTTTGTCAACCAACAAGGCAACAGTATAAAATAAAATCTAATAAAAAAGATCTTTGCAAGGTTAAATAAACAGGAGAAAGAGAGAGATGCTAGGGAAGTTAGACCTAGCATTAGCCTTGTACAATCTTCCAAGAAAGGCTATTGTTTCTTAAAATTCTAGAACAGAGATGAATGTCCTCTCGGAGAGTTTAAAAACGATTGGTGGTAGCGGATGAGGGCCTAGCAGCGATAGCTAGGAATCCATTCCACTTCCTTTGTCTATAAGCCTGGTTATTACTTTATTTTTTGGTTTGGCAGAGCGTGGACTGTATCTAGATAGGCCAGAGTCTCCCAAATATAGTGTCAATATAAAGTAATCGCAGGTATTTAAAATATTAATAATTATATTTTGTTTTAAAAAAAAATCTATATCGCCGAGTTAGAACCAAACAGCCAATCAGAGAATTCCCTGAGGTCGAGGCAGTGACGCGTAGAACGAACCAATCATAGCCTTTGTTTACATCGCGCATCACCGTGACGTCACGACCAATGAGAGGCTTAGTCTCAGATTGTGCCAAATATCGCGGAGTCTTCCACATTTTCAGCTGAATATTACTCTTGAATTAGAGCCGTTCGATCCTTTATACATGAGAAACATCAACCCTTTCGACTAGATGCGTCTTCTAACGCTAATTGTTTGGAGCAAAATCGCAGGGAATCACTATTAGGGGGCAGTAGTGACCGGGGCGTGTTCACGCCAGTAGTTTGTTTGCTCTCTGAACATTCTGTGACTTCACGCGCTGTCTCCCTCTCTTCTCGACTTGCAAGCTCTTCCTCCGGAACCCTTTCCTATCCTCATATTCCCCTCACCTAAGGTCTTCCAACCGCCCACGACACTGCAGTTGTCGCCTATATGTATTTATATTTTTTTTTGTTCTGAAAACGTTTCTACAATACCTAACCAATCTAGTAGAAACTTTAATACGATATGGGAAAAAAAGTCAAAACACTACCTGACACAGAATTTGCAACTAATTCTTGGTG